CCCCCCCCCCCCGAGTCAAACAAGTAACAGAAATAATATACTCCGTATCATATCAAGAATTGAATCCGGTGATATTCTAGATTTAAACCCCAAATCAAGGAAAGAGTACATGCATGAAGTCAAACTATGAAGTTGTTTTGGAAAAAGGGAGGAGTTCATTCAAAATGAGTGGAATTTGTAATTGTTGGGCATACACATCATCATCATCATTCTATTCTTAAAAGCAGGGGAAAAATGCACCAGCATTTTCCCGCCCAAATGCAAAGCAATCTTACCCGTTGATTCTTAGAAAAAATGAGATCTACTGATGATATATAATCCAGTGTTTTAAGATCGAATAAGGAAAGTTATTTCTCTTGGTACCACTAATAAAGAAAAAGGTAAAGAATCAACAAACATGGAAATTCTATTCTTAAAAGCAGGGGAAAAATGCACCAGCGTTTTCCCGCCCAAATGCAAAGCAATCTTAACCGTTGATTCTTAGAAAAAATGAGATCTACTGATGATATATAATCCAGTGTTTTAAGATCGAATAAGGAAAGTTATTTCTCTTGGTACCACTAATAAAGAAAAAGGTAAAGAATCAACAAACATGGAAATATCGGACCAAAATAAATATGTAATCCACCGTTGTATACAAAATTAAAAAGGAAAGAAGAAGAAGAAGAACAACAACCCAGTTGAATCCCACTACAGTAGGGTCTGGGGAGGGTGTGTGTACGCAGACCTTGCCCCTACTCAGAAGTAGGGAGACTGTTTCCAAGAGACCCCCGGCTCAACCTGCACAAAAATATGGTAGAGAACACAATATAACAGGGTAACATGATATAACAGGATATAACAGGATAAAGCACCATGTACAATGAAATGAAAGTCCAGCAAGCAAAAGTAGAAGATTCCAATCAAACACAACACACTACAAAAAACCTCTGCAGCACCGCGCTCCTAACCAGCTACTTTAATCCTAGTCCGCCAAAGGTTCCTATCTAAAGCCATATCCTCAGTCAGGTGAGAAGTCCTAAATCCTGCCTAATCACCTCCTTCCAATTCTTCCTAGGTCTACCCCTTCCCCTACTTCCCCTGATAACCGTGATCCTCTCGCACCTCCGTACAGGGGCATCAGCATCCCGACGTCTCACATGCCCAAACCATCTCAACCTCGCTTCCCGCAACTTATCTTCCACTGGCGCCATGCCTACCTGACGTCGAATAACTTCGTTTGAAATCCTATCCAACCTTGTCTTCCCACACATCCATCGTAACATCCGCATCTCCGCCGGATGCAGACGACGCACATGAGTCTTCTTAACCGCCCAACACTCTGCCCCGTATAACATAGCAGGTCTGACTACGGATCGGTAGAACTTACCTTTCATCCTGGGTGAAATCTTCGGGTCACACAAGTCACAACACCCCTGAGGCCAACCGCCATTTGGCCCAAGCCACTCCAACACGATGTCCAACATCCCCGTCTAACTCCCCATCCGCCTGGATTACCGAGCCAAGATATCGGAACCTGTCTACCTTAGGTACTACGTGAGAGTCAATCCTAACGTCCACTTCTGATTCTGTTTCCCGGCCGCTGAAACGACATTCCATGTATTCAGTCTTGTTTCTACTTATTCTGAATCCTTTAGTCTCAAGGGCAAGGCGCCATCGTTCCAACTTATCGTTTAGTCCCTCACGTATGTCGTCGATAAGCACGATATCATCCGCGAAAAGCATGCACCATGGGACCCCTTCTTGAACACCTTGAGTTAGGACGTCCATCACGAAGGCGAATAAAAAAGGGCTAAGGGCAGACCCCTGGTGCAACCCCATCCCTACTGAGAATGACTCAGAGTCGCCCCCGGAGGTCCTTACCCTAGTCATAGCCCCATCGTACATATCCTTGATTGCGCGAGTGTACGCGATGGGAACTCTTCTCGTCTCTAGGCACCTCCATAAGACCTCCCTTGGCACCGTATCGTACGCCTTCTCAAGATCAATAAACACCATATGAAGGTCCTTCTTCCTAGCCCTATACTCTTCCATTAACCTCCTCACGAGGTGAATGGCCTCTGTAGTCGATCTGCCGGGCATGAAACCAAACTGGTTCTCAGAGATGCATACCCCTTTTCGCACCCTATACTCAATGACTCGCTCCCAAACCTTCATGGTGTGGCTAAGGAGTTTGATGCCTCTGTAATTCTCGTAGCTCTGAATGTCACCTTTACCTTTAAACAAGGGGACCAAGAGACTCTCCCTCCACTCATCAGGCATCCTTGCTGTCCGAAAGATAACATTGAAGAGTTTGGTTAACCAAACCCACACACCACGGCCCGCATGCTTCCAAAACTCCATCGGAATCTCATCTGGTCCCAAAGCTCTCCCACTACGCATCCCTCGGAGAGCCCGAACCACCTCTCCAAGGCAAATGCGTCGACAATACACCTGAGACGCCCCGGACTATCCCAGCTCATCAAGAACTAGCCTCTGGTCTCCTCCCGCATTTAAGAGTTCACAAAAGTACTCCCCCCCAGCGCTTAGCCACTTTGGCAGTCTCAACTAACACTCTACCATCGCTCCCCTTCACACATCTCACGTGGTCCAGATCTCGGGCCTTCCTCTCACGCACCTTAGCAAGCTGGAACAGTGTATTAACACCGCCTTTCTCCTCAATATCCTTGTAGAGGCGTTCAAAAGCGGCATTCTTTGCCCTCGTAACCTCTAACTTGGCTTCTTTACGTGCCTTCTTGTACTCCACTCGTAATGCCGTTCTTTCTTCCTCAACATTGCAGCCCATGTACCTCAAATATGCCACCTTCTTAGCTTCCACCTTACTTCGGACT